TATTCACATCCCAAATAATGCAAATTTCCGAGACTGTCGTACAATGATGAAAAGTCGGCCTGTTCTCTTGGTAGCGCAGTGCGTTGAGAACAAGTCTAAACTATCCGCCTGGAAAAAATAGCTTCGCAACTAACAATACATTTTAAAGAAAGTAATTATATATTCGGATAGCCCTCAGAATTCCCTATCATGCTGTATATTTGTGTTTTTTATTGCACTTATTCACCAAGTCATATTTTGAGAATAATAAAGACGCCCCCATCGTCACATTCCCACAAACTGCATTCCGTTCCTTTTTCCGTCATTTTTTCAAAGGTGAAGCTCGCATAAGAAGGGTAATCCGCCCACTAACAATACCCGCTCCAATCGGTCCCAACCTCATCAGAATCACATGCGATTATCATATTCGATCATTTCGACCCTTTCGAGCGCCTTCAGTCGAATATATCCGACAGGATCTACTTAAAACCAAGCAACAGTTTAGCACCAACAGTATGACTGTAAAATCAACATTTCTCAGTAACCATACCATATTAAGCCTAGCGCAGTACATCATCCGATGCGCCATGAAAAGCTCCACAATATCTGTTAATAACAAACTTAGTGAAGCCTGGCTGCAGGTTTTATGATTTTAGTACTAGACCTTTCCATAGATCAAGGCTATGCTAACCGAACTCTTTTTCGCTTTCTTCTGTAAAACTAAAGATTATTTTTAATCATTTATACATTATTCGATGCTCCATGAAAAGCTGTACAAGAAGTGTTAATAGGAAGGTTAACCAAGCCTGGCAGCAGGTTTCATGAGCTTAATAGTAGACTTTGCATTGGTTGTCACTATGCTACTCGAACTGTCGGTCACTTTTCTCTGTGAAACTAAAGATGATCTCTAATCATTCATACATCATTCGATACGCCTTGAAAAGCTCTACAATATCTGTTAATAAGAAACTTAAGTTAAACTTAACTTAATTTTAATTTAAATCTCATTAATCTCTCGTTGTGCGTGATGAATAAAGTACTTCTTTGCTGGTTAGATGCACGTCAGTTGCATACATAATATCTGCACTAGAGATGTTCGGTTCTCGAGTTAGAACCGAACCGAAAAGAACCGCGGTTCCGGTTCTCGACTTAGAACCGAAACAAAAGGAACCGCGGTTCCGGTTCCCGACTTAGAACAGAACCGCGGTTCTCGGTTCTCAGCTTAGAACCGAAAAAGAATTTTTCAAGCACTAACAATTCAACGAAATAAGATTCATTTTATAGTAAACGAAAGGATTCTTTTAAATGATGGCAGGCAAATATATTATTTGCAGCTTTGTCAATAGTGTGTTTTGATTTTATTATAAGAAAGGCAAGACAAAAAGATAAGGCAGAAAAGAAAAGAACGAATTATTGTTTCGCCCGTCGTTTTTGCACTTCATAAAGAAATACAAATTCGATCATGCGTTCACAGTTGTTCTTTTTCTTTCAATGCTGTATTTTTCTATCGTCGGTTCTTAACAGTTTTCAGACCAGACAAACTATTAAGTTAACAGTTCACTCATTTTCTCGAATAACACATCTCTATCTTTGTGCCGTTATGGCCAGTATCACGACATAATAATATTAGCTTTATCTCTTATCTAAGAAGTATCGATGGGTTTGCCAGGTATAGAAGATCTCATGTAAAAGAAGTTGCACACAAGTATACCTTATGAACGCTAAGGATAGCTTTCTCGAAATAAAACTGTAGTATCTATAGTTAAAAAAGTCTCGGTTCCCGATGAAGAACCGAAAGCAAGAGAACCGCGGTTCCGGTTCTTAACGAGAAACGAAAACCGAACATCCATAATCTGCACTACTGCGTTGCTTATTTTGACCGGGTTAAAAATTACGTGTGTCAGACTTTGCTCTTATAATAAACAAAAATTATATTTTTTTCTTGACCATTTTTAACTACTAAGTTTTCAAAAATTTCTTTTCCTCAAGAAAACGAGATGACCCTTTCGAGATGAACACTGTCACATATGGAACTGATCGTACAACAAGCTTCCTGGCCCCTTGCTGGCAACTCCATAGGAAAAAAAATATGATCTATGTTTTTTCATGCTGTTTGTCTTCAGCTATACTTGACCCAATAAGAGAGAGTCAGTATGGATCCGCGGCATAGTGGTTATGCAGAGAAAGTGAATTTTTGCGTCGCTGGTTCGAATCTGACACCAATCTTTTTGCTTTTATCAGAATCTAGTGCCGTTTGAACACAAATCAAGTAATCATACAATGTCGAAGTATTTACATTCTTTATATTTCAGATTTTTCCTGTTGTAATGAACAACTCAGAGGAGAAAGATTATAAAAAAAATATTTTGCTTTAAAAAAAATATAAAACAGTTGAGAATAACAGAAAAATTGTGAAAGAATTAGATAACAAAAAAGTTTTTGTTCATGAGTTGGCATCTTCTATGTGTTTCATAAAATATCGTATTTTTTTTGTCGTTTCAGCTGATAAAAATACAAACATTTAGTTTTTCGGATAAGTTTTGAAAAGTAGGCCTTTGTATTTTTATTACAATTTTTGAACAAAAGTTAACGTAGAGTGTGAAAACATCTCAAGATGTTTAAGATACTTTTCTCTTCAATTTAAGATGTTGCAGAGCTCTGGACCTGCTTTTGTTCGAAGACTATAAAAGAAATAAAATGCAAAAATACGTTACAGATGAACGCTGCGGTAGCAGAGTTACTTACCAAGCCGAAGAGCAAAAATTTTACTTTTCAAAATCTGCACGCATACTCAACATGCGCACGCACTCGCATACACAAAATTCGAACAGAATGGCTTTGTTTGTAACTGTATAAGTTAGAAAATAGTGATGTCCTTTTGATTGGTTTCGTAAAATAAAAAGTCCGCGAGGCATTTGTCTAGGGAGTATGTGATCCAATACCTCTTGGGACTATACTCATGTCAAAGAACAAACATTGTTCTATTTGAGTTTTTCAAATATGGACTGATTTTAAAGGATCCTTTCAAAAACATCCTTGCAAAGATTTCAAAACTTATTTTTCTATAAGAATAATCGTTCAAGTCTAGGCTGTCGGTCAGTGAAACTCGAAGACCGCCATCTCTTCTTGTTCGAAGCTTAGTCATAAAATATCTATTTTCGTTCGTCTCTAAATAAATAAATGAAACCTATCTTTCGCATTTGTTATTGTTTTTGTGATGAGAAGGGAACCATTTCTTTTCGACTTACCTTACATGTTGATGTAACAGTTTTTTTGATTTCTATTTTGAACTTTTTCTCATGCTTGTTTGTTTTCTGTATTAACAGAGATTAGAAGTGGTTGCTTTTAGAAGAAATACATAGTTTGATGATATACTTCAACTATTATGCTTATTAACGGGTAAAAATTTTAAAACTGTAGAGATAATAACAGCAGCTATTTTTAATTCCATTATTCAATTTTTTATTAAAATTCGACGTTTCGAAAATACAATTTTCATTTTCAAGAAAACAATAGATGACAAGACTATAATGTAACATTAGAGTCAAAAATATAAGTTCTACTGATATATACATGTGTTTATATATAAAATTCTAGAAAGTAAAAGAAATGAAAGAAAAGAATATTGTGTGAAAATAGACAAGTTATAACGTTGAAACAGACGAGTATGTCACAATTAGACAGTTAAGATGAATAAAAACAAAGGAGAAAATACCACTGGAGAGAAATTATTGGAGAGAAATTATAATTTCTCTCTAATATGAATACTATTCAACCTCCTGGATCTGGAACGTTTATTCCGTGTGATCTGTATCATATCGATCTTATTGTAATATGACAAAGATCAGCTTTTTTCGTGTTATGATAGAACTGACCACGATGCACATTCATGTAATGAAACAAGCACTTTTTAAATGTTGTGGCGTTCGCTATTGTATAAGTTTCATTCTAAATCTTTACTGACAAAATAAATAATCTGAAGTTGTTCTTTACTGAGTTTTAAATAGGAAAAGCTCTACAAAACCTCTTGATTGTGTGTTTCCTTATAGTTTGTCAATTAGTTTTTGTATCCTTAAACTCAGAAAAATCTAAGAAACAGCTTTTAGAGAACATATTCTGAGAAATACGGAGTGAGAACTTTAGTAAAACAGCTCAACAAAAGAAAACGGCATTGAGTTTTACCAGTGTGGCACTCATACAGCACTGATTTTTACCAATTTTTTTATAGGGTTATTTATCTAAGTATGCAATTACCTGTGCTTTACCTGATTGTACAGCCGAATCTGCTGCCAAATTTCTCGTCGAAAAAGTCATCCTACAGTTCGGTGCGACAACAACAACACAAGATTTGACACTGGTCGAAAAGACATGATGATTTTATTTTTTTTTGACAAAAAGTGTTTCTCAAACAAATGATGGCTAAAAACTTCGCAAATTTTCTCCGAAGTTCTACGGCCCATTTGAAGTCATAAAACAAGAAGGAGGATTGAATTATGTACTGAAACAGGTCAATGATTGTCATCTAGAAAAAATAAATGTTTCACGAATTAGTCCAATTTAAATCCACAAGTACACTAATCAGCATGTCCAACATCGAACCTCGTCACAACGGCATCATCACTCAAATTGACATTTGGCTCGATAATTATAATTGGGAGTGCAACAACATTTTTGTGACGGAAATTAGCCACCAACGGGCTTCTCAACATCCAATCAACAAGAGGCTTACAACATCAAACCCAAGATGCGTGAAAAAAACCAGTAGATGAGCGGAACTCTCATCTTGTAGGAGTGGGCGTGTTAGGAACCCTAGAAAACACCATTCAAGAACTTTAGAAATGCTCATTCGCTGACGTAATGTTCTCATTCTCTGATGCAAATATGTTTCATCACCGTTCCCTTATTGCATCATAGATATGACTAAACAGTAGTCGCTAAGAAGTCTTTATTAGGTCGTTCCTTTTCAGTTTAAAACATACAGCATTCCTCGTCAGACGAATAACTAAGCCATACTCCAAAGTTAGCGTCAGGCTTCACAAATTCAACAACTTTTCACATAATTTTTAATTCAAATTTCAATCAACTGTCTTCTTAGTCTCGTTGGTAACAGCTTATACGATTTTTCTGATTCAAAAGTGTAGGATGCTGATTTTCAACCAGAGATGATTGCCATAAAATAGGTTCCACTGGCAATGAAGATCGATGATAATTGGTTTTCGGACTTACATCAGACTAACATTTTCATTAACATTGTTGAACGAATTTGGAGAGATGCCCAGTGACGTTGCATAAAACGTATTGTAACATAAAAATCTGTCAGACCATAAACCCGTTCAACATTATTGAATTGTGTGGCGACTTCTCAGAAGAGTAAGAATCGGTATTGTACTGGGACGACCTCTGTCGCATAAGAGATATAATGGCGAATTCCTTCCAGGTGTCCTTGGTACATCAAATATTCCAAATGTTGCGACAGCTGGAAGTATTTTGTATGATGCAAATGGACTGAAAATTTGCAAAGTAAGTGGAATTGGTAAAGGAAAATATGTACCATATAAAAATATAGATTTCGAAAATACTATGAAAATAACAATTCCGTCTGCGGACAGTATTGATTCACGTATATCTGCTACAGCCACATCGTCCCAGTAAGTTCTTTAGGAGTGCCTGGATACAATTTGTAATGTGAAATCATTACTCCGGCGCTTAGGCGTGCCATTAGAAAATCTAACAATATCCGTGTATGTCCTGGCGACGGTTGTACAGCTAGTTTTGAAACCGAGGAAGGACTAAATATTTATATAGCTCTGAATCTTCATACACAGATGAATATAAAGCATGCATTGAATGATGATTGATTCTGCAATTCTAAATCACCGAATTAGTCGTTAAAGAATACGAACCGACGAGACTAAAACGACAGTTGATTTTTTTTAGCGAAGCTATTTTTTCCAGGCGGATAGTTTAGACTTGTTCTCAACGCACTGCGCTACCAAGAGAACAGGCCGACTTTTCATCATTGTACGACAGTCTCGGAAATTTGCATTATTTGGGATGTGAATA